GTGCGCACACACACACACACACACACACACACATATATATATATATATATATATATATATATATATATATATATATATATATATATATATGGGTGTGTGTGTGTGTTTGTACATTGAAGCATACAAATGTTGTGTTGTGTTTGTATTTCCCTATTTAGTGTATTAGTGTATTCATGTATAATGTACTCACAATTTGCTGTTTAACATAGACAAGTTTTTTTTTTATTTTGATGCAGGAACAAAAATATCTAAATAGCTGTTGCTGGGTGTATGTGTGTGCGTGTAAGAGTTTATATGTGTATGTATGTATGCTTGTGTGTATTTAAGTCTGTATGTATGCTTGTGTGTATTTAAGTCTGTATGTATGCTTTTGTGTTTAAGTCCATATGTATGCTTGTGTGTATATAAGTCAGTATGTATGCTTGTGTGTATATGTCTAACCCTAATCTCATCTCTAATGAGATAACGTATTCTGAAATAAACCTTGAAAACCTTGTAAGTTTGCATAATTTTCAGTACTGCAGTTAAGTCAAGTTTCTGTAAGTGTTATAATGTCAAAAGTGAAATTATTTTCTTGAACGTTTATTTCCATGTGTTAACATATCATCTTTGTTAACGCTGTGAATTTTTCAAATTTGGGCGTGCATATGTATTTTTTCCCATTTTTTCTCATTCCCGTCCATCACTTCCGATTCCCAAACAGTAAATCCCTATTCCATAAAATTCCCATTCCAGAAAATTAGGCTTTACCACTTCCCGTTCCCATGCTCACCTCTTTCAAGTGTGCAGAAGCCGTTATGTAAACAACGGTGTGCAGACTTTCTGAGCCAGTAGTGGAATGGACCAGAAAAAAAAATGGGTTGATGTATGTTCAAGCTTGCTTTATAGGCTGCATGTACAATACAAGTAAACAATGGTTGTGTTTGTATGTATGTATGTATGTATGTATGTATGTTAAAACCAAATCATTGACGAATGACACCAAAAGCCAAGCGTCTGACTAAATTTGATTTTATTTGCTATAACGTCACTCAACCCCGTCGGCATTCAACTCCACATTTTCCAACACACAGATGCGCGAAAACCGCTGCAGAATGCACGAGATATTATTCATTGCGAAAAAATATTCCCTACTATCGCCTGACCTAATACTGATATGTTTACAGATCCGATTGAAAAACCTGGAGGTGTTACGGTCCATGGGGCCGAGGACCTCGATACAAATCGGTAAAAACTTCATCGAGCGGAGAGCTCCGTATGTATGTATGTATGTTTGTATGTATGTATGTATGTATGTATGTATGTATGTATGTATGTATGTATGTATGTATGTATGTATGTATGTATGTTAAAACCAAATCGTGATGAATGACACCAAACAGTCAAACATCTAATTAAAAGGGTTAACACTTTAATGTATCGTTAGTCTCACACGTCGCCGTTTAAATTAATATTTTCCGACACACAAACACGCAGAAATCGCTGCAACAAACACGAGATGTAATTTATTGCAAAAAAGAACTCTCTGTTGTCACCTGACCGAACACCAATCATTTTACACAATGTTTTAATACAGGTGATTTGGTGAGATAAGTAATTTTAACAAAACAAAAATTTAAATGAACTTAGTACGTTTAAAATTTAAAATACGAAATTATAATAAAATTCTAAGGTATTGGAAAAAATAAAGGTAAGTTATGAATAATAATATAGCAGCACACAGTTGAGGCAGGTACGAAACAAGCAACAGCTGTGCGCTATGAATTAACCATGCCAATTAAAAAATTATAAGTTGAAAAATCTAATTAAATCAACAAAAAACCAAGGCAAACTGCGACAAAATGCCGTGAAAGACTCAATCCCGGGATGATAACACGCAAAATAATCCAAAAGTTCAATAAAACAAAAGTTTAAAAACATATTAAAATACAAAATTTAAATTGAATTCAGAAATCGGCCGGCGCAAGTGTGAGCTAACGATGTATGTGTGTGAGATAACTGTATGTATGTGTTTGAGATAACTGTATGTATGTATGTATGTATGTATGTATGTATGTATGTATGTATGTATGTATGTATGTATGTATGTATGTATGTATGTATGTATGTATGTATGTATGTATGTATGTATGTATGTATGTATGAATATAGATGTATATATGTATGAATATATATGTATATATGTATGTATGCTTATATTAGGATGCTAATGAAATGTTTTTACTTACGATAAGAATTTTGTTTACAACTGTTTCAATGTGCTGGTACAAAAACATTTACATTTTTTGTTGGTCGGTTGACTGGTTGGTTGGCTGGTTGATTGACTGATTGATTGAATGACTGGTTGATTGACTAATTGATTGACTGGTTGGCTGGTTGTATTGTTAATTATTTGATACTCTGATTGTAACTGCCGATCAATAGTTTGTAATTTTTGATTGATTTTTATGATTAAGTTAGCTCATGGTTGAATTGAATGGCTAGAATGATGATAGTGGCCGTAACAATGGTCAGTGACGGTGATGGTTATGAGGATGAAATGATGATGCAGATGATGTTAAAGTTACTAAAGATGATATATATAGATATAATGAGGTTTTGGCAGATTCTTCATTGTTGCTATTTTGCTGGTTTGTTGTTTTTCATGGTATTTTAACCTTGTCAGTTTGTTTTTTCAAATAATATTTAGGCTCTGAACTGATTAATTTGCTATCTAATAAGTGTGATTGGATGATCAATCAAAATGTTTGGTGGGCTGGTTATGTGAAGTGTTTAGATGATGTGTATGTGTGAGAAGGTGTATGTGTGTTGATGATGTGTATGTGTAACAATTATGTGTATGTGTGATGATGTGTATGTGTAACAATGATGTGTATGTGTAACAATGATGTGTTTGTGTGAGGATGTGTGTGTGTGTGTGTGTGTGTGTGTGTGTGTGTGTGTGTGAGACAGAGGATGATGTGTATGTGTGAGGTTGTGTAATTTGTAACAATAATGTGTGTGTGAAGACATGTATGTGTGAGGATGTATATTTTTGATGCTTTGTGTAATAAGATCATATGATGGTGGAACTTGTGCATGCAGTTTTTATGGATGTTAAATTTAAAGGGGATAACTTATAGTGGTGTTACAAAAGATAAGAAAAATCATAGGCTTGATAGGTTGTTAATCCTCTAGCCATATTTCATTCATTCTTATACTCATTCATTCTTCTATTTAGATTATCCACTCTTTCATCCGTTCATCCTTCCATCTACCCAATTCATTCATTGTGTATTCGTTCATTCATCCATACATTTTTCTTTCTGTCTATTCACTCATGCACCTGTCCAAAAAATCATCTATCCGTCTGTTTATCCATCTATCTATCCGTTCTTCATTTATCCAAGTAATTCATCCACCAATTCATCTTCTATCATGACATGGGTTGCTATTGCCACTACTACTGCTGCTGCTACTACTACTACTACTACAATTATACTACAACTATACTACTACTACTACACACACACACACTCACACACACATACGTACATACATACATACATACATCAATGGTTCTGAGGAGGAGTCCTCGAGGGGGTAAACGTCACAACCCAAAAGGTGTTATTACCCAGAGATTGGATGTATTTGGCGGTTGTTCGGTGGAAAGGATGGTGGAATCCTTGGAGCCTGTTGTTAAGTATAGCAAAAAAATTTCAGCCGAAGCTAAAATGATTTCAGCCGTTAGATCCAAGATTGAAAAAGGAAACATTCGAAACGCGCTACAGCTATTGTCTTCAACAGATACAGTTGCACCGGTTACGGAAGAAACCATAGGTTCCCTAAGGGAGAAACATCCAAACGCTCCCTCAAACAGAAAGGACTGTCTACCCAAAGAGGCTTCAAGCTTAACGGTTAATTCACAACAGGTGCTGCACTGTTTAAAGTCTTTTCCTAAGCGAACTTCTGGCTGCAGAGGTGGTCTCACGCCTGTACATCTAAGAGACGTTACGTCTTCAAAAGCATACTCTTCTGATCTAGTGAATTTGATTGCCTCATTTGTCAACCTGATTCTAAGCGGGAACTGTCCGCCAGAGGTGGCCCCTATTTTGTTTGGTGGAAGACTGGTTGCTCTGTTAAAAAAAGATGGGGGTATCAGGCCAATTGTAGTTGGTTGTGTTTGGAGGCGTCTGGCCGCGAAATGTGCCATGCACATCATTAAAGACAGAGTTGTCCCCCTGCTTCAACCTCAGCAGGTGGGCGTTGGTGTTAGCGGTGGCGCAGAGGGAGCGATTCACGCCGCTAGACGTTTTGTTGATAACATGGATGATGATGAATGTTTTTTGAAATTGGATTTTTCCAATGCGTTTAACTCCCTAAAGCGGGATCACTTGCTCACTGTGAAGTCGGTTGTGCCAGAGTTGTACAACTTTTGTTTGTCGGCTTATGATAAGCCATCCATTCTGTCTTTTAGTGGCACTAAGATTTTGTCAGAGGAAGGAGTTCAGCAAGGTGACCCACTGGGTCCATTGCTCTTCTCTCTTGCAATCAACCTTCTGTTGAAGTCTTTGGAATCCAAATTCATTGTCGCCTACTTGGATGACATTTCACTTGGTGGAAAGATTGAAAATGTGCTGAGGGATTTGAATTCAATTGTGGGTCGTGAGACTGATTTGGGTTTGAAATTAAACTTTAAAAAATGCGAATTCTTCACAAATCATCCAAACTTAATAGAAAATTCTTTCAAAATTAAACAGTTTCCTAAAAACGACATCGACTTTCTAGGCTCTTTCCTATTTCCTTGCAATAAACGTAATATTTTCTGGGGTGAAAAATTGGAAAAATTTAAATTTATTATGTCTAGACTGAAGGTAGTTTCGAAGCATGATGCCCTGACCTTGCTGTTGCACGGGATGTACTTGCCTCGTTTGACTTTTTTTTTAAGAACGTCGCCCAGCCTCGATAAGTTGATGCTTCAATGTTTTGATCAAACTCTCCGTGACGGCTTCCAATCGATTTTCAACGTTTCCCTTGACCAGAAAGGTTGGTTACAGGCAACCCAGGGATAAAATATATTCCGACAATTTCAGAACTCAAGTTTTTGATAGGTTCCGGACCGTCCACGGAGCGGGGATTTGTATCGAAACCCGTTCTCAAAAGGAGTGGAGTTGCTAGTTGCTAAGCTGCTGGATTTCAACCAATCAAATTTTGATAAAGCCAGGATAATGGCTGTAAAAAGTGAGTTGGGATCATCTTGGTTGAAGGCGGTCCCAAATTCCGCCTGTGGTACCAGGCTGGACGACTCTTGTGTTCGTGTCAGTTTGGGACTGAGACTCGGTTTATCGATTTTAACCGAGTATGTTTGTTTATGTGGGGCCAATGTTGAACCCCTGGGCTACCATGGTCTTTCGTGTCGATTGGGCCCTGGTAGACAGGCTCGACACTCGGCCATGAACGACTTTTTAGTCAGGCGCTTTCAGAGGGCAAACATACCCACAATTAAAGAACCCACGGGTTTTATGGAGGAAGGTAGCCTCAGGCCCGATGGATATACTATTTCACCATGGGCGCAGGTGTAGGTATGTGTATGTATGCCTGTATGTCTGTGTATTTATGTATGTATGTGTGTATGTATGTATGTGTATATGTGTGTATGTATGTGTGTATGTATGCATGCATGTATCTATGTATGATGTTTTAAGAACTGAAACTGATCGCAAAATAAGCTTGCCCAGATATTATTGATTTTTGACATCATTTATTAATTTAAAAAAAAAGAACAAATGTTATCAGTAGTGAGAATGTTTTGTGCTACTGAGGCTGTGAGTGATGGTGATATAAATGTTTGCTTGTCATCATTTCATTTTAATTAATCTCGCTCCGGCTCCTTACTTTACAGCTTATGTTTTAAATTACTATTACAACTTTCATAGTTTCTACTTTTATTTGCATTCACACTGTTGTCATAAGGATATGATAATGTTGTTTCCTTGTTTTTGTTTTTTTTTTACCAGGCTACTTACTGTCTTTCTGATGGTTTGTTGAGAGATAATTTTTCATCTTTTTTATACCAAAAAAAAACTTTTTTTTCTGATTTATTGCAAAGAAAAACTAACAAAAAAAATAATTAATTTAATTTATCCGCAGATGTCAGTCGATCATATAAACAACAAACCAGAATTCAAGCGTGACAACATCAACAGTAACAATAACATCAACAGTAACAACAACATCAACAGTAACAATAGCAACAACTTTAGGACAAACTTGACCCCTGCCGATCACAACAGTAGTTGCAGTGACATCGCAGAAAGTTGTGCCAGCATGTCAACTCTCAATGACACTTCAATGACGTCATCGTTGATGTCAGCCCACGTGTCTTGGGCGACGGAAGCTACTACAACATCTATTTCATCATCGTCGTTGTCGTCATCATCATCGCCGACAAAAGCATCATCATCATCGTCGACGCATAAACATTTACTGCCGTTTGCACAGCTATCCAATAGCAAATCACCAAGCAACAGCCATCATCAACAACAACAACAACATAAAACGTCATCCAGCCATTCAACTCGCAAAACAACAACACCAACATCGCAACAACATCTTTATTCTTCGCAAGCCACGAAACAGCAGCAGCAACAACAACAACAAAAGCACCCACAACAACAATCTAACAAGTTTTCACAGCAGCAACAACAACAGTCTTGCAGGTATCCGCCCTCAATAATTCGATCGTACGACGGTGAAGATGGTCCGACTGGGTACAGACAACATCTCAACCGCATCGTCAATCGGAAGTCCTGCGCCCTCGTCCCTCCCAACCGAACCGTCTGCCACGTCATGGCCATCTAGTGCTGGTCGACAAAAAATTATTTTTATTATCATTGTTGTTATTTTTGTTATTACTATAATAATTATTATCATTATTATTATTATCATCATTATTTGTATTATTATTATTATTATCTTAGCTGTTATTGTCGTTGATGTAAGTATAATTTTAATACACTATATAACCACTATTGATAAATAAATGATATATTGTTTTAGATTTTTTTTAAAAGAATAAATAGTTTCGCAAATGTCATTTTTGTCTGTCATTTGGTTTATGAGTTTGTTTTGTTGTGTGTAATTATGTATGTACGTGTGTGTGTGTGTGTGTGTGTGTGTGTGTGTGTGTGTGTGTGTGTGTGTGTGTGTTTTTTCTTATTTAAAATGTTTTCAACGCTCCATCCAGGTTGGCAAATGTTCATTTCAATTTTTTTTTTGTTTTAAATCGTTGTTTTTAAGATTCGATTTTACATTTGCATCATGATGCATACAGTTGGTATACAAAGAAATATATATGCGTTTATACACAACACACTAACACACACACACACACACACACACACACACACACACATGTTCATACAAACATACATTAACTAATTATGTACAAATGAAATTCCTAATTTTATTCAAATAATAAATAGCTATAAACAGGGTTCTCTTGTTTATGTATGTTTGTATATATGTATATAGGTATGTATGTATGTAGGTATTTGTATATATGTACATATGTATGTATATTTATATGCATTTATCATCTTTGTATGATCATCTATTTTTGTATGGACATTCAATGTATGTATGTATGTTGTATGCATGCGTGTGTGTGTGTGTGTGTGTGTGTGTGTGTGTGTGTGTGTGTGTGTGTGTGTGTGTGTGTGTGTGTGTGTGTGTGTGTATGTGTATGTGTTTGTATGTATGTATACATGTATGTATGTAAGTATGTATGTTTTTGTATGTCGTTCGTAATATTATTTTTATGTCTTTGTCTGAGTGTTACCTGGTTGTAGTATCATTATTGTAGTAATATTTTGTTCTTTTCTTTCAATGCGAATTTTTAATGGTATTGTCAGCTATTAGTTGTTCAACTGACTCTGCAACAAAGTCATGTGCATAAGTGTATATATATATATATATATATATATATATATATATATATATAATATATGTATAATATAATATATGTATAATATAATATATGTATAATATAATATATGTATAATATAATATATATAATATTATTTGGCTATAGGCATTGATTACATACAATCCAGACGTTTACCATTAGTTATTATTTCAAGTTTTGGTGTACTGTTTGCAAGTGGTTCCTTTATCCATGTTCTCATTTTGGTGGCTTTCCATTAAAAATTTGATTTTCTTTTTGGTCTTTGTTACTTGGCGTTTAGTTATTGTTCTTTGTTATGAATCGGTGTTACGTATGTATTTACATCACTCAGTTCAGCTGTTCGCTGTTTTAAGACTTTGCTATCTAGATGAAGACGATTGTTGATAATGATGATGATGGTGGTGATGGTGATGATTATGTGTTTGTTTAGGATGAGTTCAACCAATAAGAACATTGAAACTATCTTTTAAAACATTTGGTGGGATACATACACTTTCATACTTATATATATATATATATTATGTATGTATGTATGTATGTATGTATGTATGTATGTATATGGAATAATATATGATATTGAATTTAGCTTGTTTTTACTTGTTTCTTAATTTTATTTATAACTGTTTGTTTAGTTATTGATCTGTCTGGTTGGTTGTTTATTTGGTTTTTTATTTGTTTGTTTTTTTTTATTTATTTATGCTTGTTTATGCATAGGTTGAATACAATGTACATTGTTGTTATTAATATTATTTATTAATAATTATTATTTATTTATTATTATTTATTAATATTAATTATTCATCATTATTCATTATGTTCATGTATTATCGTTACCGTCGTTTTGTCATCATCGCCATAATCATCGCCGCCATCATCACAGCTATTGCCCTACCCTTCTTCAGCATCAGCCCAGTCAAAATCATAATCAAACAATCAAACGATCCACTCACCAGCAGAATTATACCATGTGGTTATTTTTATTATTCACACGCTTGCTTGCACAATCTTTATTCTCCTCGTCGTGGTCGTCGTCGTCATCATTATAATAATAATGTTTTGCTTACTCATTCATTCGTTCGTTCGTTCGTTCATTCATTCATTCATTTATTCATTCATTCATTCATTCATTGTTGAAAAGATGTTCAGCGTTTTAGAACGTTACATATAAACATACGATCACACACACACACACACACACACACACACACACACAGAGATAGAGAGAGAGAGAGAGAGAGTATATGTATACAGTGACTAGATGACGATGACGACGATGATGATGATCTAGGTAATGTTAATGCTGATGATGACGATGATGCTGTACTACACCACCATAATAACCATCATCACAACTCTGCTACCGTCACCAATATCCACTACTGTAAAGTTGTTACACACACAGATACACACACACACGTACACACATACATATAGCAAGAGAAACTTTTTCGGGCATTGTAAATAACTTTTGTTGTTTCACGCAAACACAAAAAAAATCATCTAAATTAGGAAATTTGTACATATATAACGGTTTTATTCAATATGTATTGTGCTTTCATGTGTGTGCATTAGCATTAGTTTGTGTGTATGTGTGTGTGTGTGTGTTAGTGTATATGTGTTTAAAATGTAAATATATATATATATATATATATACATATATATTATTTATTTATTTATTTATTTATTTATTCGAAAAACACAAATGTACATTATCGAGACTTTGTTTTTCTTTTTTGAATGTTATTGATTTAATAATAATAAAAGTTCTATTGGATCTCGGAAATTAGTTCGATGAAGTGAGTCATCACATCTCATCAACTCAATTCTGCTTCACCACCATGTACCTAAATTACTTCGAGAGTTAGTATCATCAATATACTCCAACTATACAATATCAGTTTTTATTAACGTGCAACTCACACCTCTGTTACCTGTAAGAATAGGAGTGCTTCAAGGTTCTCCGCTATTCTTTAATCTATGTTTTAATCAACTCTTAAATGAAGAGTGTAAACAGTGCGCATACTTTTGTGGTCCAAGCTCGGATTTTAAAGCGAGATCGTGGCTTCAATTCACCAACGACACGGCAATTATTGCATACACGTCGTAGAGTGCTCAAAAATTAATTTACTTTTATTTAGCCTGGTGCAAATGTTCTAGCATGCAAATGAGGATGGATAAATGCTGTGAGCTTGAAATGGGGGAAAAGGTGGCTCAGGCGATCAGTTTTTACCTAGGTTGACAGTAGTTAACATACCTATTCCAACAGTTGAAATGGGTTGTGGATTCAAATACCTGGAAAAATCTATGATTCGGAACTAAAAGATACGAAAGCCAAGGAGGAAGTGGTTTCCAAACTAACACATCTATTGAGAACTACGACCGAACTAGATATTTCTCCTCTAATTAAGCTACAAATCTTGAGAAGATTCGCTAATGAAGCTACAAATCTTGAGAAGATTCACTCACTCAAAATTGATGTTCGATCTACGAAGCTACAGTTTCTCTGTGACGTGGATTGCCAACAGTTTGGACAACCTAGTTGTTGAAGCAGCTAGAAATTCGCTCTCAATACCCATTAGCGGCTGTATGTCTGAGACCCTGGGTCTACCGTTGAAGATTGGTGGTCATAACATTGTTTCTCTCAAAGACACAGCGTTTACTCCGCAATTACTTCAAGACAAATTCAAATGATGAAATTCGTTGCCTTTGGCACGAAGCATCGATGAACTACAAGATGGTGGACAATATGCTTTCTGACTTAAGCTCAACATCTCAGACAATAAAAAAGTTTGAAAGGGATCGATTAGCTGCCAACCTTAACCACTTTGTCCCACTTCAAAATCAAGCTTCCCTGATCAAGTCGGTAACAAATGTAATATCATCTTCGCAAATAACACACTGGTCAAAAAAAAACTAGGTTCACTACCATATACCTTATACATATTCGCAAAAAATATTTGATTCAGCAATGGCCGGCCAACGCCAATTTATTCAGATGGGTTATGACACTCGATCCCCTATGTCCTCTTTGTTGCGCTAAACAAGCGAGCAAACAAGTGGCGTCCAACTTTAGATCCGTAGTTGCGTTAAAATTATATACAGGACGACGTGACAAGATATTGACCGAAATCTTTAACTGATTGTTGTCATGCTGTACGACGGATTGCCTGATATTCGCAGATATCGAAAAGGAAGTAGTCCGACCAATGACGTAACTGTTCGTCAATCTTCGTCCAGATATCGCCATCTTACAAGACAAAAAAATTGAGGTCGTGGAGTTGACAGTATATTGACAAATTTAATTAAATCTAGAAACTTCAAACAATCGAAATACATTAAAGTTTAATTTCGTGTCTAAACCCTGATTTTAAAAATTGTTCAATTATTTTAAATATATTAGAAATTGGCTTTTTTGATTTTTTTAATTTATTGTCATTTAAAATTTTATCGCTGAATTCTTTTGTCGGTAAATTAATTATTTCTGCTATTTGCTCTTGTAATTGACAAAGAACAGTTAAGATTTTATTGCATATTTAATTATTCTTAATAACTATATCGATTTTTCTTATTATGTCGTTGAATTCCTGTAATAAAAAAGTTTACATTCTATTATTATTATTATATTATTATTACTATTATTATAGACGTTATATCATTTCATTTTACTTCATTTTAATTTTTATTGAATGCATGTTTTTCGGATAATAAGAGCTCTCATTATTATTATTATTGTTGTTGTTGTTTTTATTGTTGTTATGTTTGTTTTAGCTTTATTATGTGTAATAATTTTTTTAAC